TTTGCTAAAGTTGCAGACCTTTTCTTTTTTCCCCCCCTCCCTTCTCGTCTGGATCACTTTTCTTCCCATTCTATTTTTCTTTCATTAAGTTTATTTGTTTTAGGACACGAGCAAGAAGTCACCAATGGAACTGATCAACGAGGTACCTCCAATCAAGGTTGATGGTCGCATTGCTGTCTGTGAAGGGGGTAGGCACCAAAGCTGAATATGCAAACTCTGTTTATCTTGCACATTCTCAAACTGATGATCATATCATACATTTTATGTAAAACTGACTTACCTGTGTGCTTGCTTCATTGTTTCAGCTTCTGAAGGTGTTGGACTTGGCCACCCGATCGAGTATATCTGCCTTGATCTGGAGGCACCTAATGTATGCAAATACTGCGGTCTCCGTTATGTTCAAGTTCACCATCACTAAATAGGGAAGATATTGGCGTTTACCGCTGCAGAAGTTTGGAGTTGAGGAGTTTATGCATGCACATTTGTTTCACAATGTTCTGCTAGTGTACTTTGTACTATGCTTGAGGGCAAAATATTACCTTTGATGATCATCCTCTTTCCGGATGACTTTTTAATAATCTTGTGTTAACTGTGGGTTGATTTTTCTATAGACGAATATGCTCCCTTTCAGAATCTATACAAGCTATGTGTATTGAAATCCTACTCTGAATATTAAAAGTACGGAAATAATTCTGAGGGCAGTTTAATCTCAGAAGTTTTAATTTTGTGGAGATCCATGATCCAAGCGATTTCCTTGCTGAACCAGTTTGACTTACTTTTGGGACCCATGTGCTCAAGTGCCGTGCTTCCTTCGACACAGAATTTTTTCCAGTCTTCCAGGGATTCGTTGAGCAGCTTTCCTGGTTGTGTATCCATCTACATCTTCATGTTCCTACAAGATCAAAGTGTTTTAGTGACTTCAGAAGTTCAAATAAATAAAATGTATTTACTTGATTCAAGTCATAGTTCAACTTGATTGTTCAAATAAATAAATGTATGTTACTTGATTCAAGTCATAATTCAACCTGATTGTGAATAAGAACACTGACGCGTTGTATCGAAGTGAACAAAAAAAAAATCCAGCATTTTTCTGGCCTTTTGGTTATCAATGACATTAATTTCCTAAACTACCCTTCCCTTGCATTTGAAAAAGCCCAAGCCTGTTAGTATAGGGGCAAATCGGCATGACCTGGACGCTGAAAAGGACCAAAGTGCAAAAACGGTCATTAACTGAAAATAACTTCTTTCCAGTGGCCACACAAAAACCATTTGGCCACTCAGATTCCGGGTCATCCCAGAGGCCAAAGGACGCTAGGATTTATTCACGCAAGTGATTGATCTTCTCCATGCCTCGTAACAACAATCCCTTCGACGAAGAAAATGTCAATCCTACCGCGGTATTCATGGTCACTCAAATTCATATTCTTTCCAATGATCATTTCATCTATAAACAACGATTTTCTATAGTTCAATCTATTCTCTTGGAAGAAGTCATGTGTTGGATGATCTTGCATCAATACCTCTAGATTATGTGAACAATTTGTTCTAAATGCACCAATGTTCCTCTGGTTGGGAACGTTTGGGATTTCTGGTAAATTCTTTTGCATTCTGATCTGGCTGCAAGGAACTATTGATACGTGAATTGAAATTTATCAGAAGCATCTAATGCTAGATCTTGCATTCCTCATGGGTTCTATCTCATCCATGCAACGCTCATCATATATATTCATGAATTTAGTCAGGGTGTCAATGCAGCAAAATAACATTATCAGTTTATCATTTGCAATGCCTTTCAGAAAGCAGCAGCAACAACAACACCAGCTTCTGTGCCGTCCAGGAAATCATGGCTCCCGGTAGGCTTCGGAGGAAGCGGCAAGCATGGCGCAACCATCGACATTCCCCTCGGGGTACATTATTGAATTGTTCAATGTTCTTGTACTGAAAGTCGATGCACACTACATAATCTTGGTGTTCTTACAAGATTAGCATGATGTTTTATCCTTGTATTATGGTGTTCTGTTGCTTGTAGGATCCTAAGAAGAAGGAGAGAGAGCTGCTGTCATGGGAGCAGGACCTGAAACGGCGGGAACAGGTTCAGTCGAACACCTTTTCATTCCTATTGATCCTATGAGATCACTTCCATAATCAACTAGAATTTTTTAGGTGCCATGTGTTCATTTTAATTGGTATAGAACTCTTTCTCAGTGTTGATTTTGTTAACCAAGTCCTAAAAAGTGTGGGATTTGCTGCAGGATATTAAACGGAGGGAGGATGCAATGAACAGAGGTAGATCTACTATACCATTTGCTTTATGCTTCAGTGTGTTCAGTTTCGTCAGAGTACTGAAGATTCATTTGTTTGCGCAGCTGGTGTCACTGTGGAAGTGAGAAATTGGCCGCAGTTCTATCCCATCATACATCATGATATAGCCAGCGAAATACCAATCCATGCTAAAAAGTTGCAATACACGGCGTTTGCTAGCTGGCTAGGTACTTGACTTTGAACCTATATATCTTTCCCTATTTCTTGAAATCATAGCTGATATTTTTTTCACCCTGAATTGCCATTCATAGAGTTCATCATTTGTGTTGGTTCTTTTTTCCAGGACTGATTGCCTGTCTCGTTTGGAATCTGTTTGCTGTGTTGGTGGAATCAATTCATACTGATGGTGACCAATGTTTCAACGTCCAGTCAATCCTCTTCAGTATATATGTACATTTTTTTTCTGATAGATTTCTGATTTGCAGACATCGTTATTTTCCTCCTCGCTGTAATCTATGCAATATCCGGGTGTCCTCTTTCATACATACTTTGGTACAGACCTCTGTACCGTGCGATGAGGTTTCTTCAAACTATTTCAAGTTTCGGTCATTATTAAACAGCACTTTATAGATATGCAAAATTTGAACTTGGTTCTCTGCCATCTGTTGTCCAGAACTGACAGCATGGTAACCTTCGGCCAGTTCTTCGTCTTCTACTCGGTAAATTTTCTGTGTTTAGTCAAGTTTCATGAATCTCAAATTTAAAATCTTGGAAAATTCTAGAAAAGTAAAATTTCTACTAATATATTCTCATAGCTTGAATTTTCTCACCTTTTCGATTAGAAAAGTTTTCTCACTCTTCATCTTCTGATCATATAATGGAATTCTATGTACTGAGTATCACAATGGCTTGATATGTGCCAGGTGCATGTTGGATTTTGTGTCATTGCTGCAATTGCTCCTCCAATAATATTTAGGGGAAAAACTCTCACGTGAGTATAATTAGTAAAGTTCTATTTTTTTTCTGAATTTCCTTTGCGATTTCTCACCACCATTTCTTTACTAAATCAGGGGTGTTCTTGTTGCAATAGAAGTTTTAGATGGAGATATATTCGCTGGCGTAAGCTGTCCTGCATTATTTATTTTTAATAACATTTTTATCTCAGTTCATGATCCTTTAAGCTAAGTGAAATCCCTTCTGAGAGAACTAATAGTCAGATTTTTTGGAGTACTGCAGGTGCTTTATCTTTTCGGTTTTGCACTGTTTACCTTGGAATCTCTTATAAGCATCTGGGTGCTTGAGGTCATTGCCTATTTCTTCATTTATTTCATCCTTTTCTTGTTTAGCTGCTTATTACAGTTTATCTTTATGAACTCATCTGATTTGGCAAAGATGAAAGTCCTAGCATCAGTTGCATGAATTTTATAAATTCCTCACTCAATTACTGCATCATATAAGTTTTCCTGTATCATTATCATTTTTTTTGTTTGTATGAGTATTGCTCTCCGCATCTACCACGTGGTATCATTATCAAATTTACTGCAACTGTATACTAAACTGGTGGTACCATGATCCTGATCCCTCTCTCTTTTTTGTAACTCTTTTTGCAGAGAGTGTACATGTATTTCAGAGGGCATAGGTGAAGAATGTCAATGAGATAATGAAGTCATTCAGAAAAGTAGTTTATCTGAGAGCAATATCAGGGTGACAGGGTGTAAAGCAGAAAGTTCAAGATTAGAAAATAATGAATTCGCTGTGCCTGGTTATTTTTTTAGAAGATAATTTTTTTGATAAGGCTGTGCCTAGTTATTGTTGTGTTCAGATCTATTGCGATGTTTGTATGGTAGTGTTAATCCCCCATCAAAAATCAGTTGCAGAGTTTTAGAAAGGAAATGCTATGATCAGATGTTAATCCTTTGGTCAGGATAGTATGTGTGTTCCACCATTTGACATCCCCAAGTTAATAGTTGTATCTGTGTTTATGTTTCCAATCTATTTCAGATTTATCAGTATACTCTGTGTTAAGGGTATTATAGTCATTGTACTAATCTAGTATTTGGGTGCTCTCATGTACTACATATACCCCATTTGGGGCTGTTCAATAGAACTGATTATCCATCCATTCCTCCTCTTCTCTCACTCTAACACTATGGAGGCAAGTTTAACCCTTAAGACAAACATGCATCCTTCTAATGTTTAAGTTACAAACTTTCTCAGTCGACTCTAAGTCCTGTTTTGATCCATGGAATGATGCTCATCTGAAAATTTCGAAATATGCTCTAACATATCATCAGATGAGCGAATTTTGCAGTATCTACTCCTAGCTATGACCACAAAAAATGGAGTCTCAGCAATACGTGGTACCCATAAATTTATCATTATGTCCCAATGGACGATAAATTAAACAAGAAGAGATACATGAGCAATATTCAGTTCATTTGTCAGTGTAGCACATAGGTCAGAACATACTCAGAAGAAAAGGTCAGATTCTTCACATCTTTAGTTCTATGGAAATAATAACAGCACCTAGCAGGTGCATGCAATGCTCAATCAAGGAACAACTGATTGCATACAGAAATACGATTGTTCTTAACATTACGTAATCTCCTGGTACAACTAAACAATGATTCCTGATGTCCTACAAGAACATGCTAATCAATCTCATACTGTTACACAAACTGTGGGAATATGATCTCCAGTTCTGCTTTTGTCTAGTTTGATTTGGATATTACAGAACATTACGAGTCGGAGTCATCTCCAGAAAGGTTTGACTCTGACCTGCCTTGCCTCTTCAATCCCTCCTGAATTCGATCTTTAATGGCGGTTTCCTGTCGAAGGAACGAAACCAAACCAAATGCAGTTTGTCGTCACAAATTACTTCTAGAAATGATAGGTTACTAGAATATTCCTTATAACTTGCTTACCATCATGTGGCAACCTTCCTCAAACTTCTCAAGAAACCCAACAATCCAACGGTCTGCATTCTCCATCCACTCCACAGGGTTGGTTCCAGCTATCTTTGCCGCACTGTGAAACTGCGTGTGCAGCACATTTGATATCAGAGTTTTACGAATCATGTGAAGGTCTGTCTCAAAATAGTTGCAAAGCAATTTGATCACCTTCTCTTGATGCTCCTTCACCTTCTCCCTTAGCTTGCTAATCCCCATGTTGACTCTCAGTTGCTTCTCCTGATCAAATCACAACAAAATGACACGATTGAGAGGCTATTCTCATTCTCCTGTCTTCGGGAGAAATTCCTGTGGACGAACAAATCACCTTAACATAGCTGACGCCAAGGTCTTTACGGCTGTACCCCCGGGTCAGATTCCGCATAATGTACTGGTTGTAGTCCTTCAAGATCCTCATGATGATGTCCGATGTCGAGATGCCCTCAGTGCGCTTTGTCTCCTTGAACTTCCCAATAGCTTTCACCTGCATAGACACAATCATCAGGCATTCCTTCACCTGATCATCAGAATTCATAGATGCCTAAATGACAAAACGGGGAGATTCAAAGGTCCTAACAAATTCATAGACATCATTGGCAGCTCCACTCGTGTCAGCATATCTGAAACAGTCAGATTGCGTTAGTCACCTCTCCTTTGATCATTTGGCCAAACTTTGTTGCATCAACACACACTTACGGGAGCGCGTCGTGAGCGACATAGTCGATGTTGTGCTTGTCGATGAACTCCTGGTTGATCACCCATGGAGCATCCGATATAACCTCGTCAACCCACCTTTGGAATTCAATACAGGTAACCAAAATAGTCAGAGAGAACCCCCATCAGTTTCGGTGGCAGTGCCACCACTGAAACCCTGAAAAATGGGGAGGTGGAAGCTTACTTGCAATGCCGAAGCGATTCATAGCGCTCGTCCTCGGTCATGACGGTCTTTCCTTTGTACATGTGGGTGATCTCATCACTGCAGCAACCTACCAGCAAGTAGGTGTTGGGAAATCTGCCGAGAGAAATTTAGAAGAATTCAAGTTAAAAACTGATATCAGAATATATGAATTTCCGGACTTTTCATCATTTCTTTTTTTTAAACGAACTTTTCATCATTTCTTCTAACTAATCACCTATACTATTTATATCGCTAAATATTCAACAAGCAGTCTGCCAATCTTTTCAGGACAATTAATGGCAGTTGGCAGCTGCATGTTCGACCACTTCCACATGAATTTTCTTTTTTATGTTCAAATTAATGAGTAAACGAAAATAAAAACAATCTGAGCGACTTTACAGGATCTCTGAATAATCCAGTTGCGAGGTAAGCACAGGATCTGGAACGAGGCAAAATAAGACGGGAAAAATTAAAGATCGAATGCATGGCGAGACGCTCACGACTTCTTAGCCTGTTCGAGCGCGCGCGCATGACCGAAGTGGAAGAGATCGTAGATGCCGTCGGCGTACACCCTGAGAGGCCGCGCGTCGGAGCTCACCGATGATGGCGAGGTCTCCGCCACAGCCTCTATCGCCGGCTGCTGGTGCGGCGCCGGCGCCTGTGGCGAAGACATGGGATCGTACCAAACCGTCTGCGCCGCCGCCGCCGGCGGCGTCGCCGTTGCCATTGCCTCCGGGACGGCCGCGTCCTCCGCTGGCTTCATCGGCACCGCTGGATCCTGGTCCGTGGCGACGAAAAAAGGGCGGCAACTGTTTTGGTGGACGCGGGAAAATAACGACCGGCGCAACTGGAACGGCCAAAGGGGAAAAAGTGACGGTTGGTAGATTGCAGGAACGCTGTGGGTCGCACAATTCAAGGGAGGCCGTTGCTATTTACGGAACGGCGAAGGGGAAATGCTGTGGGTATACGTACTAGTAAAATTTTTCACAATGGCTGGGGGGATTTATTTCATTTGTGAAGTTTCTTATTCGCAACGCGTTGTATATGATAGAATTTGCTAGAAAAATCTTAGCAATTCTAAGTTTTCTTTGTTCCGAAACTATGCAATCACATGTTCTCCATCCTGCTATGCTCTAAACTTGGGTATGATCTCGTAGGCATCACCGCATCAGTGCTGCTTGCTCCTTTTTAGCAACAAAATTGGAAGGCTGCCCCGTCAGGACTGCCTTATGATGAACTAAATGGGTTAAGAGTCTGGATATGGTGATTTAATTCGACTCATATTGTTGTTGGTTTGAAATGTATAATTCCAAAGCAAAAGAAAAAGAGGATTTGGAAAATGTTTCAGGTTCCTGCTCTTTTTCTTGAATGAATGCTCAAAAGCATGTCATTTTTACTAATACATACACCTGGGGTCTGAGGCTGCAAAGCATGATAACCTTCAGAAAGTTCAGTATTTTTTCACATAATACCATGATTGTAACCTTCATCGTTGTGCAACGCCAATATCAGGTTGTTTACATCAATAAACATAATTCATAGGAAAAGGATATGGACAGCCCTAACACTGAAATATGTAAGTGAAGACACATTGACACAAAGACAACGTTCTTGTATTACACCTGTGGTCTTCAACATCACTATTTTTCCAATAAGGGAGAAGATTAGAAAATACCACAAAGGAAAATTAGCAAAACATACAAGCCAGCCGAAGAAAGAGAAGAACATCTGAATTAGTCTGCAATTCTGCATTGCAGGGGTAACTACAGGGCAGGTGATCTTGTTTCGAAGGTCTGTACTCACTGCTGCTGAGGTTGACCTCCAAGAACCTTCCTAATGCTGTGCCGCTGCTCTGACGACAACCTCTTAGGAAAATTGACATCGAACTTGATCCTCAGGTTGCCTCTTCTCCCGTTCTCCTTGACGATAGGCATCCCTTCCTTTGCAATCACAAGTTCATAGCCAGGTGTCACCACATCTGTGAGCTTAATCACCAGGTCACGCCCGTCGAGGGTCTTCAGATTGACCGTAGTTCCTGCCAATGCATCCACCAAATCAATCTTCCGGTGGACCAGGAGATCGTTGCTTTCTCTTGTGTACAGATCATGGGGCTTCTCATCGATAACAAAGACGAGATCGGCAGGGAGCTGGTTTGGCTGCTCGTTGCCCTTGTCGGGGAATGTGATCTTCGTTCCCTTCTTCCAGCCAGGCTTTATATCGATTGTTAAAATCTCCGATTCGGTCCCTAGTTGCCTGTTTAAAACCCAGCAGTAAGAGAGCTGAGGTAAGACTGTGCTAATCTGTTCAAATTAGCATTTTTTAGTTTATTTATGACCTGAAAATTGAAATACAATATCCTTGTAACTACAAACAAGGGTGTGCTTTTGTAGGTGAAACACGTCTAGCTTCTAATTGTAAGCTGAGTAGTCTCAAAAGTGAAAGATGATGCAAAGCAAGAACCCAGCTACAAAAAATGCTTACCCATTCGGCTTCACAACGTTCCTGGATATCTTCATCTTGCGTGTTGAACCTGCGTATAACTCTTCAAGTGAGCAGGGCAGTTTGGTTTCCACAGGCGGCGGCTTCCGAGCCTGACTCGAACTGGTGCCAACCGATTCATTGTATGATCTGAACTTGTTTTCATTCCCACCCAACCCACCGAAAGTGCCAGCACCTTCTGTCTGGAACCTCATTGACTTCGCTCGCCCCATGTTCTCGAAAGGCTTGCTGCTGCCAAAGAACTCAGCAAACACGTCTTCAGCATTGCGAGGATTGAAACGTTGCTTGGCAGCCCCATTCATGGATGTGGAACCACCACCATCTGCAGAGGCCTTCAGACCTTCCTCGCCATACTGATCATATATCGCCCTCTTCTGGGGATCACTCAAAACCTGAAAGAAGCGAGCATTGTCTGTCAACTTCTGTTTTCAAAAAACTTCCTGTCATATCTGAAGGAGCAGAAATGAGCAGCCATAGAAATTACACACAACGTTATCACTCGAGGCAGGATCGACCACTCGATCAACAAAGGTACATATTCAAAACCGACATAACACACAGTTGACACGAATTCGCAAACAAAACAACTAGTAGTACTATTAATCTCTACTAGTCAAAATGTATTTTTCTCTGCAACAAGCACACGAAAATATATCCAAAACGTGCTTGCAATTCAGAGGTAAACCAGTAGCAACTTGTACCAAATACTAATCAGGGCTGTGCCGCAAAAGCTAAAGCTAGGAGGCGCTGCAGTTACATCCAACGTAACTGCAAATTAAAAGAAAATGTTGCGCTGCAGTTCCCATACCTCGTAGGCCTCGGAGATCTTCTTGAATTTGGCCTCGGCTTCCTTCTTGATGTCGGCAGCGTTCTTGTCGGGGTGCCACTTCATGGCCAGCCGGCGGTACGACTTCTTGAGGTCCTCCTCCGTGGCGTTCCGGTTCACCTTGAGCACATTGTAGTAGTCCGTCCCCATCTCCAACGCTCATGCCAAGAACAGCAAGAGCAGCAACAGAGCACAAGAGCAGCAACAGAACAGCCACCACCTCCCAAATCCCAACGCAATCAAATCCCTTCCTGGATCCACGCAAACCGCTGCCGTCTCCTTCACGACGACTTCCCCCTCCGCCGATCCCCAATCCGAATTCCCCAAGAACCGCGTCAGATCAACAATGCGATAGGGATAAGAGGAAAAACCGCCTCCTTTGACCCTGCCTGCCGACCATTCCCCAGACAGGGCAGGAAGAGCGAAAAGCCTTGCGCGCACTCTCAAACCGCGGCACCAGCGGCGGCGGCAACTAATTCAGTGCGGCCGCGTCACACCAAGACGCCGCCTTTCGCCGTGCTCCTGGGCCAATCCGGGCCAATCAAGCTGAGACACCGACCGCGGCGCGCGCGAATACGCGGAGGCGGCAACTTGGCATAAAGCGGTGTGGGAATGGGTCTTCGCGGAAGGGGCCAGGGCAAGACGGCGACGACAATCCGGTGCCGGAGGATGGAGATGGCCGGGGCAAGGAGACAACGGGGGGAGATCTTGGGAGGCGAAGGACGCGGCCGGAAGGGACGTAGACGACAGGGAGAAGGAACAGGGGAGACGCGCTATTATTGGCCCAAATCCGGCTTCCGTTTGCAAAAATAGCTACGCGCCATCGGGAAACGTATCCCGGGGCGTCCCCGCTGGCACCGACATGTGGGCCCCACGAGACCCACCTGGCTCCTGGGTTTGTTTTGTGTGCGTATTTGAGCATCTCTGGATGATGCTTTGAGCGCTGTTCATTATTTGTTGGTTTCATTAAATTTCAAATCAACCCCAAAATAATAGTGTTTTTCTCTTACAACAAATCCAAGATCAACCAGCTTCAAACCAAATTTCAAAAATCAACCAAATAAAGCAGTCGTTTGTTTGCTCAGAGACAAGGACATGCGAGAGGCGTGTTTGAAGGGATTCTCTGGGGCAGTTTTTGGCTAGAAATGGTTTCCCCATGTTTCATTTTTAGAATATGTTGATAGGAATTCTTCGTATTTAGTCACCATGTTCGCTTGTTGATTTCAGCCAGACTTATTCAACCAGCCAACAGTGTTTTTCTCTCATAATAAACCAGCACCAGCCAGTCTAAACCACTCCAGAAACCAACAAGTGAACACACCGAGTGTCCTCATTAGATAGCAAAAGTAGGGCTTCTAGTGTGGTCTGGAGGCAACGTTTTAATTATTGTTCGGTTGAATGTCTTTTTTTTGGATTATTTACCCTTCCAAACTAAGGTGCATCGGTTCATTGCCACCATCTATATTGGCATGTATAAATAATCGACTTGAACAAGTAACTCTACAACAAGATTTAATAGGTAAACCTATAAAAAAAGATTAAATAATTAAAGATAATAGTGCAACGATGTCTTTATTAGTACTCCCATGGACAACAAAACTTAGGCAGCAATAATGTGCTTGCCTCGACCCATTAACAAGAGTCAAATCTTCTCTTACTTGCTCATGCATTGAATACTCCATTAGTTTGATTCGATATGATTTGCTTCCATGACAGATTCAGGTTTGCTTTTCACTGCCACAGGAAACCCTGACACCATAAACGAAAAAGAGAAAAGGTTTTAGGGCCGTTTGGCCAGGCTCTTTCGGGCTCTGCCTTCTCGCTACAGTACCCGAAGAGACAGATCGTGGCTTCTCCTCCTCTACGTTCATTCTATGAAGAGAGAAAAACGGCTCTTGTGAACCGTGTTGATATAGTCGCTGGACCAGGAGGAGCAGAGCCATGAGAAGCCATGCAAAATAGGTCCTAGCCATCATTAGCATTGCAATGAATAATTATGAAACACCCATTCTTCATCGCTGGATTGCTGATCTAGAACTGTTTGAAAACAAATGCTTGCTACAAATAATATAATTTGAATTGTGGTATACACTATATCATGCAAATGTTCTACAATAAACATACCGAAACATCGGTAGACGACATTGCAAGTTAGGCCTTGTTTAGTTTCTCCCCTAAAGTTTACTCCCTATCCCATTGAATGTTTTAACACATGCATAGAGTATTAAATATAGATTAAAAAATAACTAATTGCACAGTTTGATGACAAATTTGCGAGACAAATCTTTTAAGCTTAATTAGTCCATGATTTGACAATGTGGTGTTACAGTAACACATGTGCTAATGACGGATTAATTAAGCTTAATAAATTTGTCTCACGGATTACTGACGATTCTGTAATTTATTTTTTTATTAGTATCCGAACACCTCATGTGACA